GCAGTGCATAAAATGTGGTGAGTAGTTTACATTTAAGTCATTTAGCAGACGCTCTTATCCAGAGCGACTTACAAATTGGTGCATTCAACTTAGGATAGCCAGTTGACTCAAAGTTGACTCAAAGAGAGAGAAAGACAATAGTTGAACAGTTTTGAACAAATTTAATTTCTTCCAAAATGAAGGAGAAGAGAGAGAGATAGCGAGATTTCGAAAATGTTTTTCACTTTCAGTTTCACTTACTTAGCTAGCAAATGCAGCTAGCTAGGTTAGCCTACTCAAATACCCTGCTCAAACAGAGGGATGCTATGTTAGCTAGCTGGCTATGACTATCCAACACAACACTGGAACTCTTCCAAGTCAAGGTAAGCTTTTGGTTTTACTAATTTATTGCCATCGGGACCCGCCGGTGTAAGTGCTAAACTGCTTACTGACTGTACACTAATGTTACTGTAGCAGTTTTACTAACGCATTAGTTCTATTAGCTATGTTGACTATGATGTTACTTTAGCTAATATGGTGACGGCTAATAGGCTGTGTGTAGCAGTTATGATATGGTTTGGCTTGGAAAGGTTTTTTCGCCTGGTCACATACAGCTGATGCGTTGTGCATTGAAGTCCACAAGCGAAGGGAAAAAGGTGAGAGGAGGAGAGTGCATAGATGCGAGAAGGAATACAACGTGGCTGCTATGAAAGTGAACTGTGTTTACGCATGATCAGAGTTTTATTCATTCCACTGATTCTGTTGAAAAACATTTCTTAAACGAAAGCAAACGGAACAAAACGGGGAAAAGGCTTCTTAACAGCTTCTACCCCCAAGCCAGCTAATCATGGCTACCTGGACTATTTGCATTGTCCCCCCCACCCCACCCCCTCTTTTACGCTGCTGCTACTCTGTTTATTATCTATGCATAGTCACTTTAACTCTACCCACATGTACATATTACCTACATTTCCTCGACTAACCGGTGCCCCCGCACATTGACTTTGTACCGGTACCCCCTGTATACAACCTCCCTACTGTTATTTTATTTTACTGCTGCTCTTTAATCATTTTTTATTTTTTTTTACTTAACACTTTTTTTCTTAAAACTGCATTGTTGGTTAAGGGCTTGTAAGAAAGCATTTCACTGTAAGGTCTACACCTGTTGTATTTGATAATAACATTTGAGTTGATAAACATACCTGAATTTGTCCAACAGAAACTCTTGTTTGCAACTGTTGGACTAATGATTACACCCTAGATAAGCTAGATGCAGGCAAGAGTGTGCAAGGCGGTATCGAATGTGTCACTGTCTGTCCATGTGTCACTGTCTGTCATCTCACATTTTTGTCTCGACCTGTGTGCACCTACGTGAAAACATGAATATCATGTAGTAGCCTAAACCTATCACTGTTACATTGAACTGGATGAATGGAATATGAATGACAGTCATCCAATATGCTGTCATAGAAATAAGGCCATGCTCATGAAAAAAATTTAATCGGCCTCCCTCATCTTAACTCAACTGACGGAGAGGAAGGAAACCACTCAGGGATTTCACCATGAAGCCAAATGGTGATTTTAAACCAGTTACAGAGTTAAATAGCTGTGATAGGATAAAACTGAGGATGGATCAACAGCATTGTAGTTACTCCACAATACTAACCTAAATGACAGAGGGAATCGAAGGAAGCTTGTACAGAATTCAAATATTGCAAAACATGCATCCTGTTTGCAATAACGCACTAAAGTAATACTGATTTTTTTTTGTCCTAAATATAAAGCATTATGTTTGGGGCAAATACAATACATCACTGAGTACCACTCTTCATATTTTCAATCATGGTGGAGGCTGCATCATGTTATGGGTATGCTTGTCATCAGCAAGGACTAGGGAGTTTTTTAGGATAAAAGAAAAGGAAAAGAGCTAAGCACAGGCAAGGTCCTAGAGGAAAACCTGGTTCAGTCTGCTTTCCAACAGACACTGGGAGACAAATCCACATTTCAGCAGGACAATAACCTAAAATGCAAGGCTAAATATACACTGGAGTTACTTACCAAGACGACATCGAATGTTCGAGTGCCCTAGTTACAGTTTTGACTTAAATCGACTTGAAAATCTATGGCAAGACATGAAAATGTCTATCTAGCAATGATCAACAACCAACTTGAAATATTGTACAATCAAGCTTTGCAAAGCTCTTAGAGACTTATCCAGAAAGACTCACAGCTGTAATCGCTGCCAAAGGTGATTCTAACATGTATTGACTCAGGGGGTTGAATACTTATTTAATCAAATTGTATTAGTGTTATATTTTCCATACATTTTTCTTCCACTTTGACATTACAGGGTAGTTTGTGTAGATTGTTGACAAAAAAATTAAAATTAAATCATTTTTAAACCCACTTTGTAACACAACAAAATGGCGAAAAAGACAAGGCACTCTATCACTTTATGAAGGCACTGTATAACCCTCCATATAACTGCACCCTGTGCCATAATACTCACTTCAAAAATGTCCTGCTTCTCCTCCTATAAGATAAGATAACCTCCCTCTGTCTCCCAGTAGGACATGCCTAAGAACAAGCACCAATTTAACATTCTCAAAGCTGACAAAATAATTACCCCCTCCTGGTCTCTGTTTGTCTAATTTCATTTTCCCTACAGTGTAACTATGTGCAGCTCTGACAAAAGCAGCTGCATTGGTTGCTGCTAAATCATTCATTTGTATTGGAGTGAGAGTGTGTAACTAGTTTCTTTTTCAGAGACCACAGATTGCTTATAGATGGATCGATCAATGTCTGGATGATGGTTTGATTGTCTGTTTGTTTTTGTAAAATGCACCAGTCGGCAACAATATTTTATTTGGAGAAAGACAATGGATGATTCTATTCTATTTATATTTCATTCTACTAAGTCCCTAGCCTGATCCTCCCCAATTCAGGTATGCATTTTCCTCAGGTGTCTCATCAAAATACATCCCCTCATCCCTGTAACTCACTGTCTGGTGAGGAAGCGTGTCATGGCATTGGGTTTCCTCATGAACAGCACCACCTGGCGGTTCAGCCAGACGAAGAAGGCCCCCAGGAACCCACAGGAGATCCTGCAGTGACAACCACCAGCACCTTTACCTCACTCACTCTCAAGGTTGACATTTTCTGAAGAATATACAGTATGTGTGCTTGCTTCAGATGTTAGTTTAGTTGGTGTTGATCTAGCCTGTACAGTCGTGGTCAAACGTTTTGAGAATGACTAAAGTATTGGTCTTCACAAAGTTTGCTGCTTCAGTGTTTTTAGATATTTTTGTCAGATGTTACTATGGTATACTGAAGTATAATTCCAAGGATTCCATAAGTGTCAAATGCTTTTATTGACAATGACATTAAGTTTATGGAAAGAGTCAATATTTGCAGTGTTGACCCTTCTTTTTCAAGACCTCTGCAATCCGCCCTGGCATGCTGTCAATTAACTTATGGGCCACATCCTGACTGATGGCAGCCCATTCTTGCATAATCAATGCTTGGAGTTTGTGGGTTTTTGTTTGTCCACCTGCCTCTTGAGGATTGACCACAAGTTCTCAATGGGATTAAGGTCTGGGGAGTTTCCTGGCCATGGACCCAAAATGTCGATGTTTTGTTCCCAGAGCCACTTAGTTATCACTTTTGCCTTATGGCAAGGTGCTCCATCATGCTGGAAAAGGCATTGTTCGTCACCAAACTGTTCTTGGATGGTTGGGAGAAGTTGCTCTCGGAGGATGTGTTGGTACCATTCTTTATTCATGGCTGTGTTCTTAGGCAAAATTGTGAATGAGCCCACTCCCTTGGCTGAGAAGCAACCCCACACATGAATGGTCTCAGGATGCTTTACTGTTGGCATGACACAGGACTGATGGTAGCGCTCACCTTGTCTTCTCCGGGACAAGCTTTTTTTCTGGATGCCCCAAACAATCGGAAAGGGGATTCATCAGAGAAAATGACTTTACCCCAGTCCTCAGCAGTCCAATCCCTGTACCTTTTGCAGAATATCAGTCTGTCCCTGATGTTTTTCCTGGAGAGGAGTGGCTTCCTCGCTGCCCTTCTTGACACCAGGCCATCCTCCAAAAGTCTTCGCCTCAGATGCACTCACACCTGCTGCCATTCCTGAGCAAGCTCTGCACTGGTGGTGCCCCGATCCCGCAGCTGAATCAACTTTAGGAGACGGTCCTGGCGCTTGCTGGACTTTCTTGGGCGCCCTGAAGCCTTCTTCACAACAATTAAACCCCACTCCTTGAAGTTCTTGATGATCCGATAAATGGTTGATTTAGGTGCAATTTTACTAGCAGCAATATCCTTGCCTGTGAAGCCCTTTTTGTGCAAAGCAATGATGACAGCATGTGTTTCCTTGCAGGTAACCATGGTTAACAGAGGAAGAACAATGATTTCAAGCACCACCCTCCTTTTAAAGCTTCCAGGCTGTTATTCTAACTCAATCAGCATGACAGAGTGATCTCCAGCCTTGTCCTCATCAACACTCTCACCTGTGTTAACAAGATAATCACTGACATGTTGTCAGCTGGTCCTTTTGTGGCAGGGCTGAAATGCAGTGGAAACGTTTTTTGGGGATTAAGTTCATTTTCATGGCAAAGAGGGACTTTGCAATTAATTGCAATTCATCTGATCACTCTTCATAACATTCTGGAGTATATGCAAATTGCCATCATAGAAACTGAGGCAGCAGACTTTGTGAAAATTAATATTTGTGTCATTCTCAAAACTTTTGGCCACGACTGTTTTTTCTAGATCTCTAATCTAGGAAGCTGAAGCAAGCACACTAGCAAGCAAAACCATTCACACCATCTCAGTTCTTAAAATAACTACCAATTTAAGAGCTTTATGGCACATAGACTGAGATTATACATTCATGTTGGGTTGTGACAAAGAACTACATACAGTGTGGTCACCGTGCCCTCACCACGCTCCTGGGGCCCCCTCTCGACCCTTTCTCTCACCCGATGATGGCAAATGCAGGCAGCTCCTGGAGGTCAAAGGGGAAGTCCATGCGGAAACTTGGTGCGGAAGAGAGCAGTGATGGTGACTATGGTGGACGAGAGGACAGGGGGTGCAGGGAAATAGAGAGATAGAGAGTCTTAGAACTTATACATGCACATTATACTATTTATCATATATCGTGCCTTCAGAAAGTATTCACACCCCTTGACCTTTTTTGTTGTGTTACAGCCTGAATTTAAAATAGATTACATTTTGATTTCTTGTCACTGGCCTATACACAATACCTCATAGTACATGTAGTTAATTGACCTACCTGCATCTTTGTTGAACACAGAGAGCACTCTGAATATGAAGGCACTGAAGGTGGCAGCAAAATAACCTCTCCAGTAGTTCCTCACAGCAAAGTAAGTGGACGTCACTTCTATACTGAACAGCACCCCTGGTGGAACAACAGGATCAAAGCAAGAGAGGTCAAATATCAGTCAGATCATATCAGAAAATGTGGCACTTAGTTCAAGTCTAGATTGCATATTGCATTTTGACACTGAAGACTTGCTATGATGACCTGTCACAAATATAACTGAGGCAATTTCAACACTACGCCTATATTGATTGTTTCAGCTGATTTTGTAGCTTGCTTTATACTAGATGAATGGAAGGAGAATTGCTAGAAGGAAAAATAAAATAGTGTTGTACCTCCAAGAGGGGTACCGAAACAGCAGCCCACCCCAACTGCACAGCCAACTGTGAGGATGTCTGTGTAGCAGTATGGGCTCTACTGACACACAGAGAGGGTGACAGAGAGAGGGCAGCAGAGAGATAGAGAGAGAAAGGGGAGAGACGGAGAGAGAGAGGAAGGGACAGACAGATAGAGGGAAAGGGGTACGGGGATCCCATACAAGTAGACAAGGAACAGAGGGAGGAAAAGAGAAAGTCAATGGAAAAACACCTAAAAGTAGAATGCGAAGTGATCTGACAAAACTGTAATGCCCTTGTTGTTCTCATTTACATTTAAGTAGACGCTCTTATCCAGAGCGACTTACAGTTAGTGAGTGCATACATTATTTTATTTTTTCATACTGGCCCCCCGTGGGAATCGAACCCACAACCCTGGTGTTGCAAACGCCATGCTCTACCAACTGAGCTACATCGTTGCCGGCCATTCCCTTCCCCTACCATGGACAACGCTGGGCCAATTGTGCGCTGCCCCATGGGTCTCCCGGTCACGGCCAGCCACGACAGAGCCTGGATTCGAACCAGGATCTCTAGTGGCACAACTAGCACTGCGATGCAGTGCCTTAGACCACTGCGCCACTCGGGAGATAATGCTGGTCAAGTAACTGCCTACCTGATGGACTCCTGAGAAGAACGTCATACACTTGCTCAGCACAGCAGCACAGATGCTGGCGATGTGAACAAATGGGCCCTTGGGAAGCAAAAGTGGAAGACAAGTGGGCAGAAACAAGGAAACTTTTAATCGCTTTTTAGATAGCAATAATCAGGGAATCTGATGTGAGTGTGTGTAACCCACCTCTTTCCCCACTGGCATCCCACTGCCCAGACCTGCAGTCAGACCAATGACTTTGGCAGTAAAAGCCCTGAGAGTCAGATACTCCTTCAACACTACCCCTCTGAGAATGGTCTTCAGCTCAGGAATACCAGAGCCTGAGAGAAAGAGAAAGAGAGAAAAAGAGAAAGAGAAAGAGCGAGACAGAGAGACAGACAGGTCGGGGAGGTGAAAAGAGGTCAGGGAAGAGATAGAATTACAAACATTTTGTTTTACAGGAAAACTAAATTTATGTTTGACTTGGAACAACAAGAAAGGGTCATAACTCTTAATAGACAGTGAGGACATGGCTAGGTAGGTACATAAGCAGAGAAGGGAGAAGATCAATGGATAACAGATTGTGGGTAACAGGTCATTAAGGGTGGCAGGTGGTGGGAAAAGTAAGCAGTAAGCATTGAGTGCGCGAGCGGGTACACACCAATGGCTTGCGGAGCGACCAGGTGGCAAAAGAAGGAGGCGAACATGATGAGCACCATGGGATAGCTGACCCAGGCCAGGTACTGGAGCAGGACATTACCCCTCAGCTCCCAGTGAATCCACTTATACACTGACATGGGGACAGAGGCAGGGACAGAGGGATGGGAGAGGGATGGGAGAGGATTTGAGGAGAGGGGTGAAAGTGAGGCATGTGAAGGGTTGTGAGAAAAAGCAGGAAGGTAGAGGAGAAGGTGAGCAAAACAGAGGGGGTAAGGAAGAAGGGAAATAGTGAGGAGGGGGAGGAGGAAATGAGGGGAAGACAGAACACGGGGTGAAAATGAGGGAAGAGGATGTAGGATAAGGTAAGGGAGGTGAGAAAGGGAAGTTGGTTATGACAGGGCAGACACTGACAGACAGTTACAAAGAAAATACTCTTTAAGATGCCCTTTTCTAGGGTCAAATGTCAATCCATTTGGACTGACAGATGTCCTTTTCCATTTGTAGATGTTTCTCTTGGCATTAGTAATATTCTGTAAGAGGGGCACTGACTTGCTGAGCTTCCCCAGGTTTCATTGAAATGTACACTGTAAAAAAAGATATTGAGATTCAGTCAAAATGACTCGTTTTATCTAGCTAAGTCAACTAAATTTGCTAAATTTGTTGAGTTGACAAAATATTAAGTTGAGTTGACTTCAAAATGTCAAAGCTTATCAAATCAAATTGAGTTAGCAAAAAAACAATGTTTACTTAACTTAGAAATTCACAACCATGAAGTCAAATCAACTGAAGCAACATACGGTGCATTCAGAAAGTATTCAGACCCCTTGACTTTTTCCACATTTTGTTACGTTACAGCCTTACTCTAAAATGGATTAAGTCGTTTTTCCCCCCCTCATCAATCTACACACAATACCCCATAATGACAAAGCAAAAACAGGTTTAGAAATGTTTACACATTTATATATATATATAAAAAAAAGGAAATATAACATTTACATAAATATTCAGACCCTTTACTCAGTACTTTGTTGAAGCACCTTTGGCAGCAATTACAGCCTTGAGTCTTCTTGGGTATGACGCTACAAGCTTGGCACACCTATATTTGGGGAGTTTCTCCCATTCTTCTCTGCAGATCCTCTCAAGCTCTGTCAGGTTGGATGGGGAGCGCCGCTGCACAGCCATTTTCAGGTCTCTCCAGAGATGTTCGATCGGGTTCAAGTCTGGGCTCTGGCTGGGCCACTCAAGGACATTCAGAGACTTGTCCTGAAGCCACTGCTGCGTTGTCGTGTTGGAAGGTGAACCTTCACCCCACTCTGAGGTCCTGAGCACTCTGGAGAAGGTTTTCATCAAGGATCTCTCTGTACTTTTCGCCGTTCATCTTTCCCTTGATCCTGACTAGTCTCCCAGTCCCTGCCGCTGAACAGCATCCCCACAGCATGATGCTGCCACCACCATGCTTCACTGTAGGGTTGGTGCCAGGTTTCCAAAGAGTTCAATCTTGGATTCATCAGACCAGATAATCTTGTTTCTCATGGTCTGAGAGTCCTTTAGGTGCCTTTTGGCAAACGCTAAGTGAGGTGTCATGTGCCTTTTACTGAGGAGTGGCTTCCGTCTGCAGAGATGGTTGTCCTTCTGGAAGGTTCTCCCATCTCCACAGAGGAACTCTGGAGCTCTGTCAGAGTGACCATCAGGTTCTTGGTCACCTCCCTGACCAAGGCCCTTCTCCCCCGATTGCTCGGTTTGGCCGGGCAGCCAGCTCTAGGAAGAGTCTTGGTGGTTCCAAACTTCTTCTATTTAAAAATGATGGAGGCCACTGTTCTTTGGGACCTTCAACGCTGCAGAATTTTTTTGGTACCCTTCCCCAGGTCTGTGCCTCGACACAATCCTGTCTCGGAGCTCTACGAACAATTCCTACGACCTCATGGCTTGGTTTTTGCTCTGATATGCACTGTCAACTGTGGGACCTTATATAGACAGGTGTGTGCCTTTCCAAATCATGTCCAATCAATTGAATTTACCACAGGTGGACTCCAATCAAGTTGTAGAAACATCTAAAGGATCATCAATGGAAACAGTATGCACCTGAGCTCAATTTCGAGTCTCATAGCAAAGGGTCTGAATATGTAAATAAAGTATTTCTGTTTTTATTTTTCGTAAATGTGCAAAAATGTCTAAAACCCTTTTTTCACTTTGTCATTATGGGGTACTGTGTGTAGATTGATGAGAAAAAAAAAATATTTAATCCATTTTAGAATAATGCTGTAACGTAACAAAATGTGGAAAAAGTAAAGGGGTCTGAATACTTTCTGAATGCACTGTAACAGTAGTGTTGACTGAAAGTGTCAAGTTCAGATGACTTCAACGTATGTTTGGGGAGCCGAACTCATTAGAATAATACCCAGCATGCTTTGCAACCGTTAATTTTTATATTTACATTTTGTACATTTAGCAGACGCTTCTATCCAGAGCGACTTCAGTTGAAGGTAGATTAAAAAAAAAAACACGTAAAATGTGCCAAGTAAAACGTTTCTGTCACTGTTACTGAGAATGCCATTGTAGTTAACGTGATTTGTTGGTTGGTTGACATTACTCAGTACACTTCAAAAGCTCACACATGATGAAGAGACAGATGGGAGCGTAATGTCCCTACTGAAATCTCTATTATATCATTTCAAAGACTTAGTCAGTTCTGAAATGTGTAATTTTCAAAGTAGTTGTTTCAACTGTATAGGAGGTTGACACAACTTTACATTTTAAGGCAGCCTGGTAGCAAACTTTGGTAAGTTGAAACAACATAGTTTTGTTTTTCTGACTAGCAAATACTTGTCCTCTACACTTAGGAATTTGTCAAAACAACTTGTGTAGCTTTGTTAGCACAACAAAAAAATTCAGTTGAAGCACATTGATTTGACTAAAAGTATCAAGTTCACTCAACAAGTTATTACATCCAAATTTGTCAGTTCCACTTACTTTACAAGGTTGAAGTAACTTTAGAATAAGTTAACTCCACACAAAATCCAGATTGGACTTCACATGACATTTTAAGGCAGCCTGGTAACAAACTTTTGGAAGTTGAATCAAAAATATTTTATTTTGTTTTTATTTTTTACAGTGTACAGATGTGTTTCACCCACGTATCTGTACTCTGTAAAATGTACTCTGTGTTTATGAATAACATCACTGAGAGGTAGCATATAAAATTAGCACATTAGCGGTCCAAGAACAGAGCCTTGAGGGACTCCATCATACAAACATCACTAAACCCCCTAATATGGGTAATGACTGTAAACCTAATTTATAATTTAAAGTATAACGTTTTGTAATGTTTGTTTTGCAAGATTCATTTTGCATATCAGGATACCACGGAACTGTTTTGCAACACTTTTTGATAATCACTCTGCCTAACCCTCAACAATAAGCAACCAGGTGTCTAGTTAGATAACTATTTATGCTGTAAAAGCATTCATGCACCTGTATGAGTTGCCGGTTCAGTGGCTTGAATGCAAGCATTGTAAAAACATATCTCATCATCATAAAACAAGATTGTTTAGTGTGTTGCATTGTGGGTATTGTTGTACATTGTAGACTCTTGGCACTGGTGTAGTCCATGGTCCAGCTGACCAGCGCCATTGAGATGCCCAGCAGCACCAGAAAGATCCAGTCCTCTCCTAGCTTGGTGACCAGGAACCTCTGTACCCGCGCTACACAGTCTGAGAAAACACCATGACAGACAATAATTCACAACAAAGCTTCAACTACATGTATACTTTTTAACTATACGGTGTTAAAAGGTCATCAATTCTAAAATGAGATTTGATTTTAATACAACAATAACCAGTTTTGGTCAATGTTAATTTTCAACTATTAATCACTAGCTAACACTTTTGAAAGTGTAACATTAACTCTGAGTATTGTGGGGCAATATAGACACTTTTAACTTGAACACTGTTAGAGTTCATTTAACACCTGCGACTTTACTGAGCACTGACTCCTCACCTCTACATTTTGAGTAGGAGCGGCGTTTTTTTATAGACAAAGGGTTGCCTTGCTCTGCAGCCATATGTGCATGTCCCCCCTCGTCCGAGTGATGCCGACCCCTGTGCCTGCTATGGTGCCCGTGTCCATGTGTGTGACCGTGGGGGTGGCCATGGTGGTGGCCGTGGTGATGGTGGCCATGGTGATGCTGCGGACGGTGGCCATGGTGAAGGTGGTGGTGTTTCTTCCATTGTCTCTCTGTTAGCAGTCGGGTGGCCTCTCTCCGGCCAGACCCACCCGGGTGCTCACAGTATTCCCCATACAACTGAAAGTGACAGGAGGAAGAGAGACTACAGTACATTACCCATATGTTCATGAGCAAAGGACTACAATGAAGACCCGCCGAAAATGTAGTTCAGGTAAGGTTAGAGGGACAACATTTTATTTTTGGAAAATAGAGAATAACAGTTTGAGATTTTAATTTGCACTGAATGTGTATATTTTAAAGAAAATATATATCATGCAGTATATACAGTTGATGTCGGAAGTTTACATACACCTTAGCCAAATACATTTGAACTCAGTTTTTCACAATTCCTGACATTTAATCCTAGTAAAAATTCCCTGTCTTAGGTCAGTTAGGATCACCACTTTATTTTAAGAATGTGAAATGTCAGAAAAATAGTTGAGAGAATTATTTATTTAAGCTTTTATTTCTTTCATCACATTCCCAGTGGGTCAGAAGTTTACATACAGTCAATTAGTATTTGGTAGCATTGCCTTTAAATTATTTAACTTGGGTCAAATGTTTTGGGTAGCCTTCCACAAGCTTTCCACAATAAGTTGGGTGAGTTTTGGCCGATTCCTCCTGACAGAGCTGGTGTAACTGAGTCAGGTTTGTAGGCCTCCTTGCTCACACACGCTTTTACAGTTCTGCCTCAGATTTTCTATAGAATTGAGGTCAGGGCTTTGTGATGGCCACTCCAATACCTTGACTTTGTTGTCCTTAAGCCATTTTGCTACAACTTTGGAAGTATGCTTGGGGTCATTGTCCATTTGGAAGACCCATTTGCGACCAAGCTTTAACTTCCTGACTGATGTCTTGAGATGTTGCTTCAATATATCCACATAATTTTCCTTCCTCATGATGCCATCTATTTTGTGAAGTGCACCAGTCCCTCCTGCAGCAAAGCACCCGCACAGCATGATGCTGCCACACCGTGCTTCATGGTTGGGATGGTGGTCTTTGGCTTGCAAGTTACCCCTTTTTTCCTCCAAACATAACGATGGTCATTATGGCCAAACAGTTATATTTTTGTTTCATCAGACCAGAGGATATTTCTACAGAAAGTACGATCTTTGTCCCCATGGGCAGTTGCTAACCGTAGTCTGGCTTTTTTATGGCGGTTTTGGAGCAGTGGCTTCTTCCTTGCTGAGCGGCCTTTCAGGTTATGTCGATATAGGACTCGTTTTACTGTGGATATAGATACTTTTGTACCTGTTTCCTCCAGCATCTTCACAAGGTCCTTGCTATTGTTTTGGGATTGATTTGCACTTTTCGCAGCAAAGTACGTTCATCTCTAGGAGACAGAATGCGTCTCCTTCCTGAGCGGTATGACGGCTATATGGTCCCATGGTGTTTATACTTGCGTACTATTGTTTGTACAGATTAACGTGGTACCTTCAGGAAATTGCTCCCAAGGATGAACCAGACTTGTGGAGGTCTACAATTTTTTTTCTGAGGTCTTGGCTGATTTATTTTAATTTTCCCATGATGTCAAGCAAAGAGGCACTGAGTTTGAAGGTAGGCCTTGAAATACATCCACAGGTACACCTCCAATTGACTCAAATGATGTCAATTAGCCTATCAAAAGCTTCTAAAGCCATGACATCATTATCTGGAATTTTCCAAGCTGTTTAAAGGCACAGTCAACTTAGCGTATGTAAACTTCTGACCCACTGGAATTGTGATACAGTGAATTATAAGTGAAACAATCTGTCTGTAAACAATTGTTGGAAAAATTACTTGTGTCATGCACAAAGTAGATGTCCTAACCGACTTGCCAAAACTATAGTTTGTTAACAAGAAATTTGTGGAATGGTTGAAAAACGAGTTTTAATGACTACAACCTAAGTGTATGTAAACTTCCGACTTCAACTGTATACTATTATTATTACTACATACAGTATATGTACACATAAAAGTTAATATATGTTTACATATGAAAATATATAAATAATGGGAACGTTCATCTATCATAGAAGAACATAAAATAAATAAACATTGTTTCAGAATGTGGGAGAGTTCAAGTGTCATAATGTACAGTGAGCTCCAAAAGTATTGGGACAGTGACACATGTTTTGTTGTTTTGGCTCTGTAGCCACAAATATCATACCCCCAAGACATGCTAACCTCTCACCATTACAATAACAGGGGAGGTTAGCATTTCTTTGGGGGGGGGTATGATATTTATGCCTCTGTAACGTTCTATTCATTATTCACGATTCATTCAGGATTATCCGTAATCATGGTAGCATCCACATTAATATAGACATGTTTAGAAACATATTACATTCTTATTTACAATAAAAGTGACTCCAAAATGATACAATACATTATTTACCATTAATTTCTGTTGGGCACAAAATAATGGTAGCATCCACATTAATCCAAAGTGCTGGAGTACAGAGTCAAAACAAAACAAAGATTGTCACTGTCCCAATACTTTTGGAGCTCACTGTATTCTGGCAAACGGGTCATACAGAAAGACAAAACTCCTCAACATGTTTACTTTAAATCTCATTGAGAGGAAGCATGGGTCTACATTTGGATTGATGACGTCTGGACTGCATCCAGACATCTGGCAAAGAGATAACTCCACCTCGCAACTCTCCCACACACAGACATGCAGACACACACAGAAACATGGACATACTTTCATAAACACATACATGCCACACTAAAATAATGTCCTATTATCTAGTAAATCTAATACCACATTACTTGGCTTTTACCATAGTGTAATTAGAATGTATATTTTTGAGTGATAGCCATTACATTAGTCTCTTACGGGGGTGGGGGGAGTAGGGAGTTGGTAAGCTACTATACCAACCAAAGATAAAGACAAGATCCAAGGTATGTGATCCTTTATCAGACAAGACCAGCAGTGGGTTGTGGGTAAGTTCTTCACCCACTTTATAAATCATGATAGACACATTTCACAATTAAACTGGAGAGGTGGCAAATATTACATTCCATGCCAATTCTAAATGGAAGACGAAATTCTAATTCACTTGCATAAACGGTCAATCAAGTCTACTAATTACTATGATAGAAACACAATCAAATGGCAGACCATCTTGTAAATATCTTTTCCAAATTAACAGTTCAATGGTCTTCGAACCTACACTGTTATTATTGTTTAATTTGCATGATATTGTTTTAGTGGCTCAATACATAACCCTCACCCTCAATTTAAACAGATGAACCTTTATCTATGTACATAATGATGGAATAACATAATGACGTTTGAGACCTGAATAATGTCATAATACAGTATAGTTAATGTGGGCTTCCATGTAAAACACAAATGATCTAATGATTAATGTTTGCTTATTACCGTGACACTATGTGCAGCCTCCATTGTTGTAGTCTACATTTATGTCCTTTAAAGCTATTCTTATACACTACATGGCCAAAAGTATGTAGACACCTGCTCGTCGAACATCTCATTCAAAAATCATGGCCATTCATATGGAGTTGGTCCCCCCTTTGCTGCTAGAACAGCCTCCACTCTTCTGGGAAGGCTTTCCACTAGATGTTGGAACATTGCTGCGGGGACTTGCTTCCATTCAGCCACAAGAGCATTATTGAGGTCGGGCACTGATGTTGGGCGATTAGGACTGGCTGGCAGTCGGCGTTCCAATTCATCCCAAAGGTGTTCGATGGGGTTGAGCTCAGGGCTCTGTGCAGGCCAGTCAAGTTCTTCCCTCCGATCTCGACAAACCATTTCTGTACGGACCTCGTTTGTGCACGGGGGCATTGTCATGCTGAAACAGGAAAGGGCCTTCCCCAAACTGTTGCCACAAAGTTGAAAGCACAGGATCGTCTAGAATGTCATTGTATGTTGTAGCGTTAAGATTTCCCATTACTGGAACTAAGGGGCCTAGCCCGAACCATGAAAAACAGCCCCAGACAATTATTGCTCCTCCACCAGATGATGAAGCATGATTCATCACTCCAGAGAACACGTTTCCACTGCTCCAATGGCGGCGAGCTTTACACCACTCCAGTCGATGCTTGGCATTGCGCATGGTGATCTTAGGCTTGTGTGCGGCTGCTCGGCCATGGAAACCCATTTCATGAAACTCCCGACGAACAGTTCTTGTGCTGACGTTGCTTCCAGAGGCAGTTTGGAACTCGGTAGTTCCAAGTTCCATTGTTGCTCCTAGACGTTTCCACTTCACAATAACAGCACTTACAGTTGACCGGGGCAGCTCTAGCAGGGCAGAAATGTGATGAACTGACTTGTTGGAAAGGTGGCATCCCTATGACGGTGCCACGTTGAAAGTCACTGAGCTCTTCAGTAAGACCATTCTACTGCCAATGTTTGTCTATGGAGAATGCATGGCTGTGTTCTCGGTTTTATACACCTGTCAGCAACGGGTGTGGCTGAAATATCAGAATCCACTTTTGAAGGGGTGTCCATACTTTTGGCCATGTAGTGTATCTG